AGTCACCAATGAATATATAAATCACTCACCATCAAAGGCATCACTAGGGCAGGACCACCAGGCAAAGGTCTAGGGTCCAACATTTTGGATGACCTCTACATTCTCACACCAGGGCTTTTATATGTGTGTGTGTGTTTTGCACTTACAACCCTACTTTCTCTCTCTGTCCCTCTCTCTCTGCCCTTATTTTGTTTCACACATTTCTTACTTGACAAGTAACAGAAGCTTTTTTCTCATTGTTCTTTTTTTATTTTTCAAAGACAAATTTTATATTATAAAGAACTTTGTAATCACATCAAACATTTTAAATGTTTAAAGGGCTTCTTTAAAAAAGCCATTTATGCCCAGGTATACCTGGGAAATCAAGATGTCAGGCAGAGTTGCCTTCTTCTGCAGTGTAGAAAAAGTGGGACGACTATATAAAACCATCTGCTTTTGCCTGGGAAAAAAGGCAGAAATTTGGTGGAGTGAAAGAGGAAGGATGGGGAACAAAGCTGCAGAGAGGTTGGGGAAAAAGGAGAAGAAGTTAGGTCACAAATGGCCTCTTAATTTGGGCACTACGTACCACTATTCAACATTATAAATAGGCATAGTGCAGTGCACCAGAAAGTAACAAGACACACACCCATTAATTCAACAGAATCCTTTTTTCTCCCACTCTACCTACACCTGCAGCTAGAGCCTATGTAGGCAGCATAGTGACTAAAGTATAATGTATATATTCCATGTTTGCAGGCCCTATTCTTGATTCAAGTTATTCATGCATGAGTAACCTGTACTGATGAAAGAAGTTACATTGGAGATGATGAGTCAGCTTCAGCCAGGTTTCTCCCTCTTGTATTGCCTTATATGCAAGACTTGTACAACTATACTTGATCCAGTTTCTTAGTGATGGATGCCTGGCTAAAGCCTTAGAGATTCCCAAGTAAAGTGCTATCCCAACCTGATAAACTAAGTAATGGATTCCTTGTAACTGAGAGCAGTTCAGACCAGCTTCTTCATATTAAGCCTTATCATATCAGGCCATCAGAAAGCAGATAGACAGGTACATCTGAGAGATCTCTGAACCCAATTAAAGTTATGCCACAAAGAAATCAAATTCATGTGGTTTGCATTCAGAAAGTTATATTTGGTGAGCTCTAGTTGCTTTTACTTTGTAACCTAATGCACACCATGTGAACATTTGAAATGCTTTTAACAGTTGAGACCAGCTCAAATAACACTGAACCCGAGCAGCAATAAAGAATGAATTAAGACTGATTTCAGCTTGCAGTCAACATTATTTGCCTCTTGCTTTAGAAGCATGTATTCTCCTTCATGTAATAGTGCAGTAGCTCTCCTATTACTATTTCAAAATAGAAGGCTTCGAATGGCAAGTACAGTAAATCAATTGCAAATCTGAATGTTCATTTGGGAACAGGGGTAAATACTATTTAATTGGCAGCTTGAGTGATATACTTCAGTACTAATTCTGCCATTACAAAACAGAAAAACAGGATGTGTCTGAGAGAGAAATGTATATGGTCATTACTGAGAGAATAAATTTTGCAGTGAAAAAAATTAACCATTTATAGAGATATTTTGTGTGTACCTCAAAAACACCTAAGATGCTGGAACTGAATTGCCTTTTGATTCTATAAAATGAATTCAAAATTTGGATAGGGCTCTGCATGGAGTACTTCAGTGAGAATAGTTATTTAACAGAATTCACTGGAGAAGAGCTGCTGTTTCCTCATGCTATCATTTCTGAGATGCCAAAGTGTACATTTTAAATTAGGGATTTCAAGAAAGTATTTAAAAATTGCCCTAGCACCAGCAAAAGACTCCAACCCAGTAATTCCTTAATGTGTTAAAGACTCCACTGAATAAATAATGTAAAAAGGAAGAGACAAAGAATGGAAGGGGGAGAAATTGTGCTAATTTCAACTCCATTATAAACATAACATCATTGATTTAGTGGGAGAGAGAAGGAATTTTACCCTTCAGAGGTTAAGCTAAGCAATGAAAAATTAATAAACAAGTACTTAAGTTAAGCAGACTGTGCCTTAAACCATTAAGAAAGATCACTTTGTGAAAGCCTTTTATAACCAAGTGTATGTTAAAAATGGGATTCGCCCAGAGTCCGTCTCTTGGTTATTGTTCACTCGCTGTCATAACAGTGTTTGACCTAAACCCTACTTTTAATTTACCACCATCTTCGGTTAAACATCAAAACTGTTTGCAATGTTGTGAAATATATTGTCATAAATCTGCATTGGGCGTGGTCTCATGGCATATATTTTTAATATTTCCCTTAGTAGTTGTCCATTACAAGTTTAATTTATTTTTATCAAGTTGCCTCCAAATCAATTGACACAGGACAAGGTTTTATCTCTATGAATATCACTGAAGTCCTGATACACTTTTGTTGTGAATCCAGTTATACTCCATTTCAGTTCACTATACTCTATAAAAGTCCCTTAATGAAAGAAATCATTTTCTGTTTGAACTATAGTATCTGCTAAATCCAAATATTTTGTTTCTGCAGGATTCTGAAGCAGGATAAGGGGTGGAAGTCCAGTAAATGGGAATAAATGTAAAACATTTGGAAACATTTGTTTCAGCCCTAATGCCTTTTCATTTTTGCCCCCTCTTTCTCCTCCCCTCCCCCCCTTTTTTTAAGCACATGGAAGTCTCAGGGTGAAAGGTTAAGGTGAGCTTCTTTGGGTTGGATTTGTATTTCATCAGGTTTCATTTAACTAAGAGCAAGAGATACAGTTTCAGGGGAAAGCAGAATAAAGTGTTTTATTTAAACATTGTTATTTTTTAACATTGTAACAGGAGGGAGTAGTTTTGCAATTCTCGCTTTCTAAACATACACAGTTCCAATAAGTACCATAAGTAGGGAGGAATGTTGCCCTGTGCAGAGACCATGCAAAGCTCTATTGGGAAAGACAGAAGGTTATCAGAAGACGGGGAGCAGCCTGGTTTTGCCCTGGGCGGTTACTTTAATACAGGTGCTAATTGTTTTAACTTAGAGAGAAAAACAGCATTTCTTTAATTTAATACATAAACCAGAGTGCTACATTCTGTTGAGACATCAACTGAGTCTTTTCAGATAACAAAGTGAGCATGATCTGGGCTGCGATCTGGATCCAATTTTTATTCAACATTTGGACTTTGGGCTTTACCACATAAAGAACAGATTGTTCTTTATGTCATACATGCCTCCTCCTCAGTGTATACATGTGTTTTTAAAAAAACAAATTCACCTTACTCCTTCTGCCATGAAAATCCCCCTCATCAATATTCTTAAAGCACGACATTAGTTACATCATATTTCATCAAAATCTGACTGGCAAAAAGGGTGAGCAATTGGGTTTATGTAGGCCTTTTCAAATGTCAGCTTTCCAAGGCTTGTATTATCAGAAAGTCCTTTCCATCATGAGATATTTATGACATAGGTTTAGCAATGTCCAACCACTACAGTATCAACTCTGTTTTGTTTGAGAAGTGCAGTTTCCTCCTCTGTCCACTATCATCTTCCACTACATGAAGGCTGGGGATTCTGTGCCTGGACTTCAGATTACAGATATATCAAACACTGAATGTCGAGTGTTTTCATATCTTATTTCAAACGATGAAAGATTTTTGGGATTATATCGTCACAGTTGACATCGTAGTTGACTACCAACTGAATTGTTTTCTCTTCCAGGAAAATTCAAATCCTTTCTTTATGTTTCAGAAAGAAGTTGAATAGATTGTAGTAGAATATGTTACCAAGACCAACTAATTAGCCTCTCTGTTTTTTGTAGAAAATTACTATGTTATTTAAGAGTAGACAGTGGCAATTTTTGATGGCAATCAGTGTGGCTGTGCACAAGCATTAATAATTGTTTATAAAAATACACATATAAATATACTCAAAGGAATTTATTACCTTAGGTTTATAGTGCTTATTAGAAAGAGGAGGGCTAAGGCACCTCTTCCTATATTCTTGAAACACCCATTTACTTTTGGCTCCAAAAATATAGTTCCTCTCAATGCATAAGCCAGAATGCCTTCCAGTGGATGGTGTAACTTATAAAGGAGAGAGGTCAATCAGTAGTAACTATAGTAAGAAAAATATAGGCCCAGTTTCAAACTGACCAGCAACAACATAAAATAGTTGCATGGGGGTTTGGGTCAGCAAGGCAGAAGATAGGTACATAGCAAGACCATGGATTATTAATTAGAAAAATATGGCAGCAACAATAACAGGGAAATGCTGATGCTCATTTTTTTTATTCTTCTTTTTATAAATAACTCAAGGCAGCAAACATATCTAATACTCTTTCCTCCTCCTATTTTCCCAACAACTCTGTGAGGTGAATTGGGCTGAGGGAGAATGACTGGCCCAAAGTCCCCAACTTGTTAGACCTCACAGTGTCATGGTTCCTAGCTTGGAGCTTAACCATGTACATTATGAAGGTTTGCTCCAGAAGGACTGGAAAGCATAATCCAAGCTATCTTTGTTTGGGTTCATAAAATAGATTGCTCTATGCTAACTTTGAAGATCCAACATGTTTTCCTAAACTGATCCTACTGAAGGTTCATAAATCCAGGCAGACCTGGATTCTGCAGTTTTTTCACATATCTGATCTCTTCCTATCCATGTCATTCTCTATGATTGATGCACTGATTGTGTTATATATATCAATGACAAATATGTGATTTTTTTTAAACACACACATGCACACACACACACACACACACACACATACACACAAGGATAAGGGAAGCAGCTCTGAGGGGAAGAGATAATGCTGCATAAGGGATTAGGAGCCTAATTGCAAGAGATCATTCATAGTAAAAGTTCCACTACTTCAGTAGGATCAAGTTCAACAAAAATAGGCAAAAATAGCAACATCTATATTGTAAAGAGACTCCTTCACTGACATGTCGGTCTTAGGTGGCATAGATGACATGATTTAAAATCAAGCTTTAATTTTTCATGAAATGGTGAAATTTTATCTTAATAGGCATAGCCTTCTAGAAGAAAAGCTTGGACAGAAACTTAATTCAACTCTCTGCCCAGTGCAGGAATCTACTACAGCAGTTTCCCTAATGGATGGCTGCCCAGACAATGTTTAAATATTTCCAGAATAGTCTACTACCTATTGAGCTGGTCAGTCTGATGATTGAAGGACTCTTACCATTAGAGATTTTTCCTGATGGGCAATCAATCTACTTTCTTGTAGAACCATTGTTACTTGTCCTATAATTTGGAACAATTCTCCTTCTTCCTCTATAACAGGGGTGTCAAACTACTGACCCGCGGGCCAGATGCGTCATTGCGAAACTGTGCCCATCCCTTTGCCGCCATGGAAAAAAGTCACGATACATAGCAATGCGTCAGGTGATGTTGCAAGTTTGACTGCTCTGTAAGATTCAGATAGTTGTAGAAAACTAGCTTGTGACTCTGTAATATTCTTTACTCCAGGGTAAACTTACCCAATGCTGTCAACATATACAACACATTCAGTGTCTTAATCATTCCACTTAATTTTTTTTTCTCCAGGCCCCATCTTGATTGCTTTCTTCTTAACGTACTGCAGTTTGCCAATGTCTCTTTCAAACTATGGTGCCTAGAACTGGATACAATATTCTTAGTGTGTTTTGATTGATGCAGATAGAAAGAAACAGAGACTTTTCTATATATAAGACTGTAACTGCTAAGGCAGCCCACAATTTCATTTCTCCTTTCCACATTATACTGTTGGGTCAAGTTCAATACAATGATTCACCCAATACCCAGACCTCCATACTGATGCCCAGTAATGTCCCCCATTCTAGATTGATGCCTTTGATTTTTTTTTTCTATCCAAATATATATTATATTTTCTCCGGAACCTCAAGATGATACACTTGGATTTTATTTACTTCTACTGATGTACTGGATAATTTTTTTTAAAAAAAAACTGCTATTGTGTTTCAAAATCTTAAATTTAATTTTTCTTACAATTGATGTATTAAGTGTTGATTATAGTTTTACACTTACTGAATATTACGGTTACTAACTGCCAGGAGTCTTAACACATTATGACAGAAATGTTATTTCCCTTGCATGGTTATTGAAATACTCTCAGCATGAATTCTCATGCTCAGACTCCTAGATTTCAATACCTGTGAGCAATTCTTTATATAAAATGCCCTTCTATTCTATTATATACTTTTGAATAAATATTAGCATTCAGTTCTTGAATTCTACTCTTTTTCTTCCTAAATTAAGAATTCTAGTTTGTCCTTTTTGTTACCTCTGTTTGTACTCCATTCTTGTGCTTCATATAGAGACACTGGAATCTTTTGGTAATATAATAGTCCTTCTTCCCATATTTATTTGTTTCCTGTATTTACTTGATGTATTGGATGCCACCACATCCTAGAGACCCATCTCAGTCCCAATGCTACATAGTACTAGCATCAGATGTTTTGTGAGCTTCTGCTCCTTTCCTCCATGATTTAGTTTAAAGCCATCATGTCAGGTGTAAATTTTGTTTTAAAACATATTCTTCACAGTTCTAATGCAAGTTCAACCATCTCTTACCAGGTGTCCCTCAACTTAGAAACACATTCCATTACGAAAGAATTCAAATTATTTCCGCTAACACCATCTGTTTAGCCAATTATTCTTTTTCAGTATTATTTTGATAGGAATGAGTGAAGAAAACTCCATCTGTGCCCTAAGCTCTTTATTCCCTTGCCCAAATGTCTTAGTCCCTTGCAATTTCTTCAGGAGTGTGATGAATAAGTAAAAAAGGATATTTGCTAGTAAACTTAAAGAAACTTGGGGGTTGTTCAGTCACACTGCAAACTGTACCACAGGAAGGCACCGGTGTCCCTCTCATCTCCAATCACCACTGTACATTCAGCCAGTAATGTGAAGCTGTTGTCATTTTCAGTGAGCAAAAACATAGTATGTCTCTGCATATCAAGAAGACAGTCCCCTTCATCTCTGTGATCCTCTGATCAATAACAAAACATTTAAAAAGTGCCTTACCCCGCCCTAAGTCCTGTTCACTTTCTCTTTGGGGAACTGGCTTCCTAATGTGCCCTTGAAGTTGTCTCAGTTAGATCAGCAGCAGCAATGCTTCAGTCCCACTCAGTGGGTAGTTAGCAGCAATTGGCAGCACTATATGGAAATAGGAACCACAATCCATGAACAGTCTCTCTCCCATCTTTGACTTTCTTCTTTTTTCCCTTTTCCCTTCCTTCTCCTCAGCTGAGCGCTCCCAACAAACTTTCTTTGTTCTGCTCAATTCACTGGTAGCAGATAATTACTCTTTTATACGATTTACCATAAATGCTGCTGCTATCACTATAAGAATTAAGCTTTTGATGCATGTACTGTACGTGTATGTGTATATACCATACAGTTCTTAAATCTGCTTCATGAGTCATGCACCTTTACCATTACTTAAATTCCATGAAACAATTACTGTTGTATTTTACTGTGATTATTTTGAGAAATGGAGACTTACAAAGCCTGTAGTTAGATATTGATGCCATTCATATTTTTAAATATTTTACAATATAACTAAGAATGTTGACTGTTTCAACACTTTCTATTTCTTATAAATGATTCTGTCAACAATTGTTTCCTTTAAGGCTGTAACTTATGCATAGTTATCTGTTGAAGTCCCGTGGAGTTAAGAAGCCAAATAAGAAATAACCCTTTAGAAAGTACGCATTGTATCCATCCTGTTAGTCAAATCTTAATAATGAACACAATCTCTTAATTTTCTACTCTTGCTGCATGTTGCATGTATAACTCTAAAAAAATAATATTGCTCTAGCCCTGCTTTATTGAAGAGACAAAATATTAATGAATCTTCTGAATGTTATGAATTACTTCAGGAAGGAAAATATATAAAATATTCAGGATCTTTCTTATTCACGTGAATCACACATTGTATTAACTATTTGACTCAATGGCAACTATGTTATTTAGTGGTTAAGATGTTGACTAGGATGAGAGCCATCTTCGGCCATGTAAACTCACTGGATAATTTTGAACACTTCACTTTCTCTCTGAGGTCAACTACCAGCCTTTAGAGAAGAGGCAGGATATAAATCTAATAAATAAATATCCCACCTGATAAGATTTTATGTCTTATGGCTTCTTTATAATTGCTGAACTTAGATTTACTTTATTTTCTTTTATAAACCATATATTTTGCATTAATCGTCTATCTTTATTCAGGTTTTACTTTCAGAGTTTCCGTATTGCCTTATAAAATATAAAACATAGAACATAGAATAATAAGATTGAAAGGAACTTTGGGAGTCTTTTAGTCCAACTCCCTGCTCCATCAGGAGACTTAGTATCATTATGGACAAATGCCTGTCCAGTCTCTTTTTCAAAATCTCCAGTGATGGAATGATGAATGTTGGGAGTGCAGAATGAAGAACACACGTGTCTATAGAGAATCTCAATCATCCAGGTCATGGTTGTCCCATGGTAGGCTTTTCCAAAAGGCAAATGGACTTTCTTGGTTTTTTCCTTGAAAACATTTCACTTCTCATCCAGTTCTCATTCAAGAACTGAAGAACTGAAGAAACTTCTTGGATGAGAAATGTTAGTTCCACATTCCTTTTCCCTCTTGGGCTCTAGAAGTATGCACATATCTGCATAGGGCCAAAGAACAGCAAAATCTGTAAACTTAAAGAAGTGAATAAGTAGACATAACGAAAGAAGTATTGAATGCAAGTTCAATGCATTCATTTATGTTTTCAGGGTATGAAACAGAACAAATGAACCAACATTTCTGACCACCATTAAGAGTAGCTTCTGAGATTGAAAGGTAGGCAAAATGCATTGAATTTGGCACGGGTCCTGAAACACACTAAGAAAGCAGTATGGATGACTAGAATGTCTATGCTGCCATGGTCTGAAAATAGGACTTAAAAGCTGACTTTGCAACATGAGAAGTTATGCATGTTCTTCTCTCTGTAAGTAACATTTGGAACCCCATGAGGTAGGACAAGTGGATTTCCTTTTAGAAAAGTTCATTGTTCACTAGTTGAATTAAAAATAATTAGAATAAGAATAATTAGCAGTCAAACTGATTGTTAGGATAATACAGAAATTTCAAGAGATTTTTATTTTACTCAGTGTCATAGAACCTCTGCTGGGATGACCTTGCCCAATTCAAGAAAACAAGCCCACTTTTCAGAAGGTGTTGCTATCCTTTATATACATTTTAGGCCATTCAATGTTCTTCTTGAAGCTCAGTTCATTAGGCTAAAGATAGCAGGTGGAACCAAAAACAGAATGCAATGGAACTGCTCCACTGCAGAAACAGAAAGCAAAATGCAATTTGGATCGTTCTACTTTCTCAAAAGTTTGCTTTGGGAAACTGGGATGCCTGTAACGGGTCTCCAAATCTAGGCTGTGGTGATCAAGTGTAGAAAAAGAAATTGCTATACAACATAGTTGAAAAAAGAAAGGATAAAATATCAACCTAATTTGATTTATGAATGGAAATGGAAGGGAGGCAGTTTTACTTTTTTGTTCTTTTGTTTTGTTCTTTGCCAAACATCATACAGATTTTCTGGTAGAATTTTTTACAGTAAAGAAGAAATGTTTCTAATTCTGTTATTCACAATCTCTGAATTTGATAGTTTATTTTATTTATATGACTAACTCACACTCATTGATTCTGGACAGCTTACTAGGATAAAATCTCAATACAAAACCCTATAACCCCACTCTCACACACATCCCCACACACACACATACATTCTTGGCAACAGCAATCAGATGAGCCATTTGATAGGCCCCATATCACTCTGGGTCCCAGACTATTGGCAGAACCACTCCTTCAGGGTCCTGTGAATGAGTGTCAGAATGTGGGTCAATCGTATCTCTGCAGAGATGATGTTTTACAGTGAAGAAGCCATCTTGGAAAAGGCTGTTCTTATTGGTCCTGTTAGCTGGAACTCCTTAGGATAAGAGTAAGGAGTTGTTGCCTAGTACCATGCAAATCTTGAAAAATTACTTCTAGTAGTGGTAGTCAATATGACCAATGTTCAAGAGTCCTGGGATATGTAGTAAGCAATTTTTGATGGGTCACAGATTCTTTCCCCCTTCCACATTTATCTTGATTGAAGCATGAAGTAAGATACTGTGACTACGGATTGAACTTAATAGTTCAAATGAAAATAAACATATTGATGAGAGAATGGAACATTACAGACAATTTGTAGATATTTACAAGGTTGAGTGGAAAAAATGGGGAAAAAGTTGTTTATCTCTGAAATGGGGCTCAGTAAGTCAGGAAAGACAAAAGCTAGTTCTCTTTAACTACTTAAATGTCCTTATTGATTTAATTAGTTTTGAGATTAATATCTTACAAGTTGGAACAAGAAGTATTTATGAGACTTATTTCCTTTTGGAACATCATCTGAAAAAAGCAAGAGTTAATGGATGATATTTTGACCTATTAATGAATTTAAAATGTTGCTAGTAATGAAGTTAACTTTAAAAAAAAATTATCAATTTTCTAGGAGAAAGAGAATATCAGTGGGAAAATGGACTATATGAAAAAGAGCCAACAGGATTTTCTATGACAAGTAATTATAGTGTCTAGAGTAGGTTTTTTGGGAGGCTAACTCAAGTAACACAGGTTTTATTGACTTCAGGAGTAATCTTTTTGTGCTAATCAGAATTTTGTCCTAATATTTTGTTGCATAAAATCCAGTGACATTTACTGAAACAACTTGCTTGGCTGGTCTTCTAGATACCATGCACAACCCATATTTACATGCAGATTAATTCAGATGGCTTATCCAGATGTGCCAGCAAAGTCTGTGTGATTTTTCTGATACCAGGCACAGCAGTATTTCATGGGCAAAGTTTATGAAAGTCAAATTAAAGAAGAAATAATAAAACATGGAAACAGGAAGTTTTTTGCCATGTGTTCACTTGTATACTGCTCCTCTTTTCCGCCCATCCCCAAAGGCCCCAGGACGCCCACAGCTTCTCACTTTGGCGAAGGAAAACTGGAAGCAGGTCCATCTGGAAGGTGCCAATGCCAGCTGTGTGTGAATGAAAGCCAGACAGCCACTCCCTACCCACAGGGGATGACTGTTCTTCTTGTGCAGGATTTCCACATCTTGCTGCCCTAGTTAAAAGAAGCTTGGTTGTCTGTCCTAGACAGTCCTGCATTTTGGGATAGGTGTGACTCCTATTTCCATTGGATCATTGTATGTGGGAGTAAAATTCCTCAATTTGGGTGGGCAAAACTGTCCCAAGTTTACAATCTATCATATACATAATCATGTATAAGTTAGATGTATCTCTGTGTATTTGTGTAGGTGTGATATTTAAATTTAATTTAAATTAAATGTAAAGATATTTAAACCATGATTGGTAATCTATGATTAAAATTAGTTTTCAGCCATGCGTTTTGATTTTGTTACAGATATGATCTAGTTGAAAGGAGAACTTGTCAAACTAAATATGAAAAAAAATGTACATAATGCAACGATTAATCAAGCATTACTCTGAAAATGCAGAGACCAAAAGGAACTATAATTTTCCAATTATGCCAAATAAGGGTGGATAAAATTTTAATTGCAAATCATGCAAGTCTTCTTTCTTGGAAGCAAGCTTCATTTAAGTTCAGGGAAATTTACATCCAGATGGTATGCTCCAGGTCTGTGAATCTATTTCTTTGTCCATATAAAATAGTTCACTGTACTATTTAAGCATATGTGAAAATAGCAGATTAAGCAATCACACTGCCTTTGGAATGGTTGCCAGAACAGGAAATAATCATAGAATTTTTGTTAATGTAAAAGGGCAGTAATTAAAATCAGTGGGCCTAGGCATATTTACTTGAGCAATCTGGATTGTTTTACTATACATTTTTTTTAATAATGTAGGCAGTAGGAAATTTAGGCAGTTTATACTGTTCACATTTACTCTGTGTTTGTAGGATGTAATGATCTACAATGGTAGTCAATGCATGGTGACAGTCATGTGTGATGTCTTAGTTTTGGTATGTACCTCATCCCTGAAAAATTGAGAGAGAATTAGAGAGGAAAAAAATTCATAAAACAGAAAATGGAATTCTCGAGATATTGGTGCATAAAAGAGCAAAGCCTGTGACAGAATGTAGAGAGAGAACTGTAGAAAGATTTGAAGGCTATGCCTAATTACTGGCAGCTTTACACAGAAATATTCCTGTTGACTATTTTTCAGGAATGGGGTTCATGGATAATACTTTCTTCTTCAGTTGTCAACTACAACTAAAACTAATTTAATTTAATGCTTTGAAATACTGAATTTAAAGAGTGTTTCAGAAATGTTATATTCTAATTATTCAATGCAGACTTCTAGCATTCATGAGTCTAATCCATGAAAGAGAAACTATTTTGAGCTTCTGATCTTTTTTTTTTTCCTTTAAGAAAATCAGTGCTTATTTCCAGTTTTCTAATACTGGATTCACAATTTGACAAATATGAATCCTAGTAGAGTAATTTTCCTTCCTTCCTTTAGGCAGGAATCATTCCTAGGCAAAAGTTATCTGGAAACTTTGCAGCAAATAATCTTGACCTATATATCTCTTGAAAAACTAGCTTCCAGTCCACTAATGCTGTGGAAGTGGCATTCATAGAGTCTGAACAGATGAGCATTGGTAGCTTGTGATAGTGAAGAAAGGGAAGAGGAAAAAAAAGAAAGAGAAAGATAATGCCACCAGTTGCTGGAGAACTTCGTCATGGACGAAGAATCTCTGCCCTGGGTGACAGACAACACTGATTAGAAAGGCTAAATGTCAACATTGTTCTCTAGACTAACATTTGGCATGAGTCCAAGAGCATTTTAGAGACAAGAGTAAAGAGCTTCTTAGCTTCTTTCTATATCCCCCCCCTTTTTTTCTTTTTCCTCCCTACATGTTGTAAGTCACACTGTCAGGTTCTGAGTAGTGTCCCTTCAGACCTCCCAATAAATCTTTCCATCCCTGATTTTAAAAGCTCAGTAGCATATTTTTTCTTTATGCCCCCTTTGCTTTGTTAATTTATTTCATCCATGGTGTGTCAGCTAGCAAAGTTATCTTGGGCAAAAGTTATTGGGGGGAAAAAGCAAATGGGAAAACCTTTTATTTTTGATATACATGATGTTAACATTATATGACTTAGAACAGCTCAATAACTGAAGATACTTTGTCTTTGCCTTAGATTAGAAGAAAAGATACTGTAGCGTCAGTTCAGTTTGATTCCTGGGGACGCCATTGCCTTTTTCTTGAATATTATCTTGACTTTTCAGTCTCTTCACTGAATGAGATTTCCCGTCCTAGAAGCTGCCATAAAAGTTGGTCTTTATCTGTTTTCCTGGTCTGATTTTTTTTTAAAAAAGGGTTAACATTCAAAAGCCCATGGCTTCCCACAAAAAAAGAATAGAGTCTTATTATTGCCTCCCAATGCTTCTAATTCTAAAACATAAATAATATGCTGTTTTTTTAAAAAATATATAATTTAAAGATGTAACTTTAAAGCACCACAAATATATGCATGGAATAACTTGTTTCTGTATTTGTTTGGCTGCCCATCCAGACAGGCAATGTGATATAAACACACCAACAGCTTAATATGTATATATTTTTAAATTCCTCAATTATGAATATATTCCAGTTGTACATACAAAACTGTCAATCACTAGAAAAATATTTAGTAGTTGTCATTGGCAAAGACAAGCAGTTGCAATGTATCGAAAGATGAATTGACTGAAAAGAAGTATCCACAGGATTGATACAGTTAATAATGAAATGCCATAATCACCAGCTTGGTATGCATAATAGCATTGAGATTAGAGATGCTTGCATTATTTCAGTTTACATGTTCATAGAAACCTATTTAATTCTCACTTTCTGAATTTGAATAATACAGAAATTGAAATCTTGTTACTCTTAGTTGCATAGTGAATTCCCAGATCTTCAAAACTTGTGATATAGCATTCTAGTGAATAAAATAAATATAAAAGTAGATGCATCAGCACAAAGTGTGCACCAAAAGGTGAAAATAAACACAAACAAATAGTATACTTGGGGCCATTGTTTGCAAAACAATGGATTTTAAAAGCTGTACAGATACATTCAAAATACAGTCTTTGTTTGTAAAGCATAAGAAAGATATGGGAGAAAAAGTAGTAAAAATAAAAAATGGATAGTAATCAGATTTGATTTATCCATTATTTGTGATAATAGTTCATACATTCTAGTATTAAGAAGCTTCTCAACATTGAGCATCTTAGATTTGCAAAAATCATTTTCAAAATTTAACAATTTATAATGTACATACATACATACATACATACATACATACATACATATATATATATATGATTTATAAATTTATAGATGTTTAGTGAGTTATATCTCTGTTTCATTTGCATTTTTAGTGAGCAGAAATTTGTCTGATTATAAAAAAAACCCAGTTTGCTTGCTTTTATATTGTATTTAAATGTCAGAATATAGAAACAAATCAGATTTTATGTTTATTTTACATAACTAGCCTTATAAAAAAAGTAATGATCTCAGTCTAATGTGCTTAAAGAAACACAATTCTAATTCTTTCCTTATAAGCCCTGAGTCTATGTAAGTTCCTGAAATAATATTTTCATAATAAGGAAGGCTTACACTGAGTTTTATATTATTCTATCTCTTTTTAAATAATTTCAACCCTTCTTGCTGAATAGGATTACATCAACACAACACTTGCATGGTGGATGTACTGCTTATTTGTGCTTACAGTTTTCTACATTAAAATGTATTCCGTATTCTTAGGCTAGAAAGTTATGTCATATCAATCAATTAGAATAGAGCTGGAAGGAATCTTGGAGGTGTTCTAGTCCAACTCCCTAGTCAAGCAGGAGACCCACCTATACTATTTCAGACAAGTGACTGTCCAGTCTCTTCTTAAAAACCTTCAGTGATGAAGCATCCACAACTTCTGACAGCAAGCTGTTTCATTGGTTAATTGTCCTCACTGTTGGAAAGTTTCTCCTTAATTCCAGATTCCAGTTTCCATCCATTATTACTTGTCCTGCTCTCTGGTGCTTTGGAAAATAAGTTGACCCCCATCCTGTTTGTGGCAGCCTCTCAAATACTAGAATACTGCTATCATGTTCCCCCTAGTGATCAAAACTGGATGCAGTATTCCACATGTGATCTTACTAAGACTTTACAAAATGGCACTAATACTTCACGTGATTTTGATTCTATGCCTCTGTTTATACAACCAAGGATTGTATTAGCTTTTTGGGCTGCTCCCGTATACTGCTGACTCATATTTAAGTGACTGTCCACTACAGGGCTTTTCAACCTTTTCACCCATTGTACCACTTTTAGGATATGGCAATATCCGAGTACTACCAGTTGCCTAGCAAGGGGTAAAAACCTTGATGACAAAAAAAGGGAAAAAGTGATAAAATACAGGTAGTCCTCAACTTACAACAGTTCGCTTAGTGACTGTTCAAAGTTACAATGGCCCTGAAAAAAGTGCCCCCCAAGCCACAGCCGAGCAAGACACCTGTCTGCTCACCCGGCGGCGCTCTTCCTCCTGTCCGAGGTTTTCATTGTTGTGAGCATTTCTGTTGAGGATTGGCAGCGGGGCTGGGATAGGGGTGGCTTGGGGGGGTTTGGTTTTTATTCCCCCCATCTGCTGGGTGGTTGCAGCAGGTTTTGGTCACTTCATATGATCCTGGGACACTGCGACTGTCATAAATATGAATCAGTTGCCAAACATCTGAATGTAAATCACAAGACCCTGGGGATGCTGCAATATTCCAGCTGATCAGTGCTTCTTCTGGGCTCAGCAGAAGTGCCAGGATCAGTGCCGAGCTCCAGCTGGAGCCTGGCACTGATCCTAGTGCTTCCGCTGAGCCCTGACAGCCCCAAAGAAGTGCCAATCAGCTGGAAAGCGGCACTGATCCTGGCACTTCCGCTGAATCCTGACAGCCCTGCAACTCCATCTCTGGCTGAGGCTTGTGCGGTGCTGCCACCGATTCAGCTCATTACCCTCCCCCGCTACCACTTTTCTAGGATGGTCGCGTACCACGTGCCAGGCACCAATGTACCACAGGTGGTACCTGTACCACTGGTTGAAAAGCCCTGGTCCACTATATTTAAGTCATATATAAATCATCATCTACATGATCTATTTTTAACAAACCCATGCTGACTTTTATATAATTTAGTTATATATAACTAAAATGAACTAATCTGTTCCTATATGGTTGGCTGGTTGATTTCATTTTATTTTTTAATTAAAATTACAGAATGTTGTTAATAATGCCTTTTTAAAAATATAAAATGTAAAGACACAGGTATAAATGGTTTATATGTGATGCATCTCCTTCAACAATACTTATTTATCCAGAAACACTCAAAATTTGTCAGATGATTACTATAAACTAAATTCAAGGAGCAAGTAGAATGTCATATTAGAGTGCTCTATAAATTTATAGATTGTACTCCCCTACAACCCTGTAATGCTCCTACTCCTTCTTTTATATTTATATATACTTGTTTTAATTCATCTATGTTTTTGATCTTCTAGCTTTTAAAACTTCTTTGTAAATTTTTATTTTCATTTCAATATATAATAATGTCTGTACTGTGTTGGGGCTTTTATAGAGTAGAGAGCCACCATGATGGTGGGTGATGACCATTTTGGTTTTTTGGCCCAAAAGATATCTTGAATTATGGCATGGTGACATTTCAAATATTGGTAAGTTTTAAGCACGCGAAGCACTAAATTAATCATCACCATTTTTAAGTGCCATTTTTAATTTACCATTTTAGCTTTTCTTCATCAATAGATGTTGCCATTTTATCAAGAAAAGGGATGTACTGTGATTTTGCATCACACTAGAAACCTTATGAGAATTTTTTTTAAAGTGTGGGTGTGAGAGAAAGAATTAGAGAGGGAGGGAGAGAGGGAGGGAGGAAGAGAGAGAGAGAGAGAGAGAGAGAGAGAGAGAGAGAGAGAGAGAGAGAGA